CATTCATGAATGTTTTTAATGAATGGATTTTATAATAATACAAATAGCAATGTGTAACATTTTACCATATTTAGTGCAACACTTATTTGTTCCCCACAAAATGTTTTTTCACTAAATGTTTGGATTTTCTAGAATAACTTTTGCTGCCGAATTATCCACTAACCTAGTTTATGATACATTTTTGTCATAGATTATAAATATACATAGGCCTATATTTTTTCATATTTGTTTATTTTATTTTTCTTTATAATGAAGTAGTCTGTATCTAGTAGATTGTGAAAGAATGATTATCAGTTCCACACACAGAGATATATAAATTCTACATTTATTTAAATGAGGGGAAAAAAACTTCACTGGTATCGGATCGGAATCGGTATCGGCCAATACCAAACCCTAGGTATCGGAATCGGTATAGGAGGCAAAAAAGGCAGATCGGAGCATCCCTAATTTTGTGCTCCAAATAAGCAGTGCTGAGGGAGGAGCCAGTATAAAAAAAAAGAAAAAAAGTAACTCACTTCCACCTCAAAAAGATGACTGATGAACTAGAGATCAAAAGGCACATGTAACACAGCTTGAGAGTAGACCCTCCCACAGCGGCACAAAGGCCTGGGCAGCGCTAGTTCAACTCAAGGTCAGGACCTTTACCAAGACCACAGCACCTCCAAGTGAATCAAAGCCCTGATTACCCAATCCAGGTCATAGAAGACCATTCCCAAACCCCAGCCAGGCCACACAGGGGACGGCAGACCTATGCTGGACAGAGCACAGTCCTGCCGACAGCAGAGCAAATGGCAAAGGAGCAATTTATCACCAGATCTGGGACACTCGCCTGCCAAAATGATTTATAACAGTCCTCATGGGATACTTAAATCTTTTAGTATAGGCCATGATTACAACATGATTTGGCAAATGTCAATTTGTGTAGAAACAGCCACCTTTACAATATTGAGTGTGCTCCCAGAAGGGATAATAATAATAATAATTATCCCATTTCGAAAAGGAGAACTTGACAGTAAAAGTATATTTGGGCTGATTTGCTTTGCAACAGGCGACTTTTATTGAGACATACGTGATTTTATTCACCAGGTAACGTTAACGTTAATGCAAGGATCCTCATTAGGCCACTCATGAGATATAGATTCGTGCCTAACGATCAATTGGTAAAATGCAATGCTTTTGCAATAAGGGGCAAATGCTTCAAATTCTAGTTAATAAAGAGTAATTGTGCTTCTACCGAACGACGTTACAAGTAAGGATTATACAAATTATTCTCCATGTAACGCGCGTGCTGACTAACCACGTGGCAAAGCCAGGATGCAAAAACCTCTACACGAGCCTATAACCTCATGAACAGTTCTACAAATAGCTGCAGTAACACGTTAACTTCTGTTAAAATGCATCGACACAATAATTGTTTGAAGTACATTTACCTGCAACGCGTAGGACTTGTGACCAGATCTTTCCACTCTTGGGAAGAAAGGATGTGACGCATGCGTACTTCGCGTTTTAAAGAGGAACTTCCTAGTACGAGCAGCACATGCGTGTTGGGTATTACTGAAGTCTGACGTGCTACGGTGTGATAAAATGCACTCGGATTGATGTTTAACTCTTGCATACGTTTATGACACGTTTATATATAAAGCACTACCAAGAGATTACTTTGTTTGTTGTTTATATTTAGAGCGCTCCCAACAAAGTTTTCGTTTGATGAAAATCCTTATGAAATTACAATATATAACCCATGCATTTAATAATTCAAATTGTTTGCCTCTCTCAAGCAGATTTGCCTCTCTCAAGATTAGAGTAAACATAGAGAGTAATGTAAACATTTAAATAAATAGATAAAGATAATCCATCTAGACCCATAGGCTAGATCAATAGTACGCTCTGGTATAGGCTATATAAACTTTAAATCTGAAGCCCAAACTTTAAAATGTTAATTCTCTTTAGAGGGTTTACAGTTTTAACATTATTCAGTACCTTTAACAAACGTTCAGTGCACTTCATGATTAAGAATTTTAAAGATAAAAAAAAAAAAAAAGTTTCCATGAGAATGTTTGCATCACATGAGATATGTCAGAACTGTAGCCTAAATGAAGACAATAATTTAAAATGAATTCAAATCTTCGATATTAATAATGTTCAGTGTAAGACAAATATTTTAAACCAAGTTAATTATAAAGTTCTTTTTCGGAACACATTATTTTGCACATTGTGAAGGGTTTATATTAGAAAACATCGATAATAATAACATTAATAATAAACCTGAGATCAGTGTAATTAAAAAAAAAAAAGATTTTATTCACTATTCACATGAAAAAGAGGAAGGAGGGAAGGGAGGAGAAAAGGGGATGATGCTATTGTTGCGATTCTGACAGACCACTTCACATGACGAATGTTAGGTTATTCACACATTTAAGTGCAAATGTTGTAACAGAAAGTGCATAGCCGACAGCTCGAGCATAACAGCTCAACCCCACAAACGAATTTCAGACAGTACAAGTACAGAACTGCAGAAACAGAATTCTGAGCAGAAACCCACAGTTAAAAAGAGCACAATTTGTTTAATATTTTAATCTTATTTACATATTGGAAATAATTAGGATATATTAATATGCACAGTACTCAGTTGTCTGTATGGCACAATAATAATAATTTCAATGAATTTGGTTCATTTGCCGCGTAAAACAACCATGTTAAATTTTACAGACTGCAACAAAATTACTAAAACAATAACTAAACAATACTTTTTTTAACCTTCATTCTTCATCATTACCTCCAAAAGTCTTATGTGCAAACGATCTATGTTTGAGATGATGATGAAGATGCCCCTTGATTTTCATTTGAGTTACCCAGGAACTGTCCAGTGGCACCGACATATAATCTTGAACGCATCGGCCATTTCTAAAAGAAAAAAGCGACAAATAGAAACACTTAGTCAACTGTTTTAATGAATTGCTATGCGTAATAAAGTGGATATTTTCAAGTAGCCTTAGCCTTAAAGTCTCCTATTCAAAACTTTTAAGACTAAACACAAATGTTTTGTAAATTGAATAAAATGTATAAAATCTCACAATATTTTCGGCGTTAAAGTTCACTTTCATTCTAAAATATAGGCTAATTAGACTTACTTTCACAGGATGTAAGTAGCCATCTCCCTTAAGTGAGTTCAAAGCTTCAGTTTGTTTTGTGTTGTCCTCTTCCATCCCTTCTTCTTGCAAGGTTCTTGTTAAATGCGCTATGTATGTGGTTGCCAATATCAAGACGTCGAGTTTGGAGAGTTTGGTGTCCGGTGGCACCGACGGCAGTGTTCTCTGTAGCTCGAGGAACGCATGTCTGAGCGTCTGGACGCGACTCCTTTCGCGCGCTGCGTTGGCTGCTGGGGGTCTCCCTCTGCCACCGAGGCCACTAGACGGGACCACCCTGGAGCGGGACAGGGCCTCTGCGCGCCGGCTGTCCGCTGAGAGCGAGTCAGGACTGGGGCTCGATTTAGGGCTTGATGCGGGACTGTCATCCATAACTGTCACAGAACCAATGCCACCCATACGAATCGACTGCCTTCCAACCATTGAAATCACTTTTTAACCTGGTTAAAATAATACATAAAAAAAAAAACAGGTTTAAGCTATAGGCACTCATTAAAAACTTCTGTAAAAACATTTTTCCTCAAGTGAGCCAGAAATCTCATGGCCAGTACGAGTCATTCAGTGTCAAAAAAAGAAATATTAGACTAATAGACGCCTACGGTGTTTATGTTTTTAATTAAATAATTTCAGCCGAGAACATAAAGTTTTAATATAACAATTTTAAGAAGAATTGTAGGTTACATTGTATAGGTCATGAGAAGTTATTAAAATTTAAAAAACATACCTGTATTATTGTTAAAAGTGCTGTCCTATAAAACACACATTAAGGCATGAAAAAGCTCGGCAAAAAATCCTGTTTAAAATAATAGTCCCTTTCTCGTTGCAAAAAAAGATATAGTCGTGGTGCTGCGCGTGAAAGGCACGGATATATGTCCGCGCACACGCACTGTCCTCACCTGAATGACTGCGTAGTCTCCTGAGCCTCTAATTTATCGGAGAACACAAAGAGCTGACAAGTGTTCACTCCGGTGCAATAAATCAAAAGCCTTTAAAACTCTGGCAACTCGAGCCGTTCTCTAGTTTTCCCTTCGCATCGGTCGGTAGGAGGGCACAGTCCATTTTTCGACGCCAGAGGCAGCATTTTTCGGTCCACCCAGAGTTGCTTTGCAAACCACAACTTCTGAATATTATATGAAATATTGTTTATTCAATAAATAAATACCAATTTCCTCTTGATTGGCTTTGTTTGGTGAAAATGAATGTGGTTTTTGAGACCCAAGCATTCTATTTTTAAGCTGCCAAACAGATTCTATCAGATCATCTGCACGGTGCTCTTAACTTTAACATTTTGAAAGGGATATTGATATTATAATTTTGAGCCGCAGACATCAGCTTCATTTCCTGGGACAAAGCCAATAAATAAACTCTAAACACTGCAATCAACTGGCATGCTTGAGGAAATTCTTGTGAGACTCCTAAATTAATCATTCTATTTTCCGCAAACGGAGATGTGGGAGAATTAATGAATGGAATTATTCATAACATGTATATCTGAGACTGTTCTTAATAAACATTGTTTTTGTAAGGATGAAGTAACAGTATTGCCCCCAGGCCAATAATTATGAAGCAGAGCAAATGAGGTTAAGTAAGCTTCTCTGTCTAATTACTCTACATCTTTCAGAGGTTATACCCTGGTGTAGATATTAGTATATTATACGCAGGAATTGTATTCATGCATTAATGTACTCAGCGCGTATAAACGTTATTATAGAATCAGTTTTATATTTCATATGAATACCGTTCCAGTCTAGAACGCAGTGTCCATGATGTTGATAAACTTGCTGGATAATGTGCAAGTTGAAATGAAGCCTCAGTAAAAAGAAAAAAAGGTATGAATCTAAATGATAAATGTGCAATTATAATGTAATCTACTTTTATTTTTAAACTTATTTAATTAGCAATTTCATGCTTTAAATTAGATAATTTCATTAGCTAATTTAAAGAATGATGCAGTGAGATTGGAGCATTAATTTGTTGAAGCACTCCAACAGAGAAATATAATAAATATTTAAAAAATAAAAACATGAAAAATACCCAAAACAATCAAAAAGTATGTTTGATGATGTAATTACCAAATAACTAAAAGCGTAATCAAACCTTAAAAAAAAAAAATTCAACTACATAGCACAATTTCAGACATTTTCAATGACACATAAAATCTCGTTTGAGATTTTGCTCTTACCTAATGTAACCAAAAAAAATGTAATCTATTCCATATTTTTATTATACTGAATTAATAATATCACCTAATGTATATATCTTTACATCCAAAAAATAATGTACAAAACATGATGGAATTTAAAAATACTTTTCAGCATCTTGCAAAGTAAATTTATTAAAAACAAACACACAGACAAATATTTAAGAAATACAATTTCAGAATTTCAAACAGAATATGAAAATGCAAAATAGGCAGTGTAAAAGAGAGTGTATTCTTGCACAATGGAGAAGCTGCTCAGAAATTCACATTTTATAAAAGTGTCAGCGCTTTACTGAACGTTTTCCAGAAAAGTCCTAACACACAGATTTTCAGAGTCTGCCAGTCCTCACTGGAATATATATCCCTCTTGACCTGTGAACACACCAGAACAATCATGTAAATTAATCAAATAAATTAAATGAAATGCTGTAAATTACCACAAAAGTACCCCACAATATTTGTTGACTTTCATGCTTTTGTGCTTTGTATTAATAGTAATAAAAACAGCCTAGAACATAATAAAATGCTGGCACACATGCTTTAAAAAAAGCTTCTGTAAATTACGACTAAATATCCTTCTGTTACTGGACCCCTATAATAACATAAACGGCTAACTAGGGCTTTAAACAACTGTCATTCAGCATTATCATTCCTATTACTCACACATTAGTGCCCATGCTCCTTGCAGTTTTTTCTTATAAGTACAGAAACATTCAGTTCATATTTATTGTATACATCAACAAATAATTTCTGCATTTCAGAGGCCACACACTGGTAAATCAACTGAAATGATAACTATAGGATTAACACGTTTAGGACATCAGACATCAAAAGGGTATGATTTGTGCAGTACAATTGTAGATGATGTCACATTACACAGCGCAGCACAGAACTATGGTTAACCTCAGGCCAGTCTAAAGGAGAAAGCTGTTTATTTGCATGGGTGGGAAAAATAAGACTCATACAACTTGACAAATATCAGGCATTTATCCATCATGTCTGAAGGCAACATGTAACCTTACTCTGATAGCATTTATCTCAGAATTGATTTCATTTTTTAATATAAGATGAGTTGTAAATATTTGATAAAAATAATAAAAAATAGAATATAAAAATATAAATAATATTTTTTCATTGGCTGCAGATTATGCAAAGAATAAGGGAGTCTTGTTAATAGCACAGACATTTTTAATTGTTCATACCTTCTTCCTCTGCTGTCTCCTTGTACTTGATCTGCCCGAAATATAACGCCAGGCTTCCCATATTCTGACGGCTTACTCAGAGAGCTGCTGCGGTCATGGGCAAAGGGATGTTGGGGGCCCACGCGAAAATCAGCTACAGCAAAACACGGGTTAGTCACACATTGTCATAAAACTGACACAAGGGATATGCAAGGCTTACTTAACCACATACTGATGATATACAATGGCAAAATGGAGAAATGTGTTAAAAGCAAGAAAATCTTGTGGATATCATAAATGACTGGAAAATTAGAGAACAAAATGAAAGTGACACTGCAGTGCACTCAGGACAGAAATTCTGTAAATGAAATAACAGTGACATGTTAGGGCACTATTTTTCATAGTATGTAAAGTCATACTTCAATAATATATTTGACATAATTCATTGTCAATAATTCATTAATGGAAATAATTGTAAATAACTGAATAAAAATGTAAAGAAAAAAACTGCAGCAAATATTCATACTTGTAAGTTGATTTGTGATTTGTTCTTTGATGTCTTCTCCATCCTCTAATTTCTTCTTTGCGTCTTTAGAGGCTTTCCAGTTGATTAGAAACTGCCTAGACAGTTCATTTATTTGTTTTCCATCAAGATCCTCTAAATACCAAGAAAAACATACCGTTTCTGTGTATCATTTCACTAAATAATTATAGAAAATTCATAAACAGTACAAAATAACTGTTATTGAAATAACTGTAATTAAAATGCCAAATATCATTGAAATGTTATTAAAAATGATAAATAAAATAAATACATAAAATAATAAAATAAATTAAAAGAATAATAAATAATTAAATTACATAATGAAGGCCAAAAATGCCATTCATGATTTATTCAGAAGGTCAATGATTCTTTCAACATAAATAACGTTAAATGACTCCATACTAGGGCTGTCAAATCAATTAATCACATCCAAAATAAAATAAATATTTACTTGTGTATATATATATATATATATATATATATATATGCATGTATGTGTGTGTATTTATATATACACATACATTATGTAAACAAAAAACTTTTATTTTGGATGGATTGATCGATTTGACAGCCCTACTCATCACAAGTTAGCGATGCTATTTCTCACCTAGAATTTTGCAGGCAGTTATTAGTCTGTCCCTGTATTTAGGTTTGTGACACGCAGGATTTCTATTCAGATCCAGTAGCCGCAGTTGAGACCACTGGCTGAACACTGTCTCTAATTCCTGAAAGCATGAATAAAGGCATAACATTTTACTTTTAATCAGTATTTAAATCCCGCAACACTAAAGAGATTTTGCAGATTTAACAGAAGATGTGCATGGTTAAAAATGATCAGGGCATTATATTTAAGACAAAGAAGCCACGAGCTTAAAAATCAAAAAGATTCAGAGGGTAAAAAGTATAAACAAGACATCAGCTTGTTTTAATAAATACTGTCACTCGGACTGCGTGACTAACAAGTTCCCCTGGGCAGTAGTCCTCAAGCATGTTGCCTGCAGTGTATGTTTATCTAAGGACACATTAATCCAGGCTGGAAATATGAATACTCTCTGGACACGTTCTGATTGTTCATTGCCTTCCTGTCTCAACTAAAGTGCTTCCACTTTTCAGTCCGCGTGCAATCAGCTCTAGCGGGACCCCAGCGAGCCGCGTGCTCTCAGGCTTTGATAAATGATCGTGTCAGGTCTGTCACTCTGAGGGCTTGGCTGGGAACTGCCCAGCACCAAATTGCCCTCCCATGCGCGAGAGTGCTGAATGCACTCCTGACTGGGCTCTTTCCAGCCCCATACTGGGTTAATGATGGCCAGTTATGAACCTGTATTTGACCAGCGCTTCGATCCTTATCTGCACTGTCTGGCCGTGCGCCACTAACAGCCTCTGCAGTACCCATTTGTCACTCGGCTGACTGCCTGTCATAATCTATTTTAAAAATCCATAATGTTTCTTCTGGAATTGGACCAGACTGTGTAAGGGAGGAATTGATCCTTTGGGTGCTGTCGTCGCTGAATCAATAGTGGCAAAGGGGTTGTATAAATTAAAGGAGATAGCTGCTAAACATGAAAGCTTCCTCTGACACATGGATCACTATTATCGGTGGCAGTTGCTGAGAGGATTGTCTTTTGAGCTGTTGGACAAAGTTACCAAGCTGCTTTTCTACAGAGGCGTTCGGAAAGTGCTCCTTCACCATTTTTTAGTCACTGAATGTGTGATATCAATAAGCTGGAAAATCCCTTTTCCAGAAAAGGTTACTTTTCAGCTTTAGTTTCACTAAATGTTTGGCTCAATTGGGTTTTAAGGGGCACTCAGTGTATTTCAGAGGAAAATCAGTTCACTAAGGAAGGAGGAAAACTTGTGCTTGTTTAAATTGTCAGCAGAAGCTGTCCCTGGAGACTGGCCCGCTGATTTGTTGAATAATTCTGACCCTGTGCAAGTCTGGAGACTGCTGGAAGGATTTGTAGGATTAGGTTTTGCACTGCTCTGCCTCTATCATTTCACACTTCATAGGAACATACAACTTTGTCATGTCTAAACAGAACAAAAATTCTTTATAAGTATATTTCTTATGGAAAAAAAATCATATTTACCTGTATGTCCTGTAGCTGGTTATCGGTAGCGTAAAGATGGGTCAGTTTTCGGAGAGGGGCCAAGTCCCATATTTCATCAATGTTATTTTTGCTGATATTTAGAATGCACAGAGTTTCCTGAAAGAATTCAATATTAATATAATTAATAATGCACTTTAAATTTAAAACCAGTCCCACTTCTGGTGAGCCAATGAAGATTTCACTGTGTTCGTAAAAGGAGAGCATTTAGGAATCTTTTGGCAGGGAAAAAATTCGGTGCACTTACATTTTTTGTAATTACATTAATGATCAAAATAAACAAAATTCCCAACTTTTGGTTTGTTTTCCCATAGCCTTGGCAGTTAACACTCCCTGCTGATTTGTCAGACAAGGAGGCAGCCACAGAGACCTCTTTTACCCTCATCAAATTTTGCACAGAACTTCAGCTGTGATAAACCACAGTTTTAACAGGGGGGCAAACACTTCTTCACACAGGGCCATGTAGTTTTTGTTTTCCCTTAATAATAAAAACCTTCATTTAAAACTGCATGTTGTGTTCACTTGTGTTATCTTTGACTAATATTTAAATTTGTTTGATGATCTGAAACATTAAAGTGTGACAAACATGCAAAAAAATAAGAAATCAGGAAGGGGGCCAACACTTTTTCACACCACTGTAGATTTTAATCAGAATGTCTTTAAATGGGGTTTAAATGTATAATTGATGGGGTGAACATTATTTCTTTGATGATATGTACTTTAGAGACAGCATAGTCAATTGACCCTTAAACCTTTGTCAAAATACATATTTTTGAATAGTGGGAAGGAGGCCAAAGGTGAAATAGACATGTGACCTGACCTAAGATTATCATAAAGGGAGATCTCTTCTCCCAAGAGCCAAAAAAAAAAAAGAACAACAACTGCAATGATAAAAAACAACACAATCATCTTGAGATTTCCATTGTCTGTAAGCTTGACCCTGCACATCCATATATAAAACCAATCCAGACCTGCAGTAACACCTCACCAGAAAGGCCTCCTTGGAAAGACCTTGGATGATATTTTACTCCATATGCTTTCTATATTGTCTTGTCAACCACAGACATTGAACACTAGGACAGAAGTAAAGGGAATACATACATCAACACATGACAGCAGGTCGGTTTTACACTTGATCTCAGAGCAGCAGACTATGGGGAGATGACATGGAGAGCCTCTTAAAATCAATAACTTTCTGTGGTTAAACTCCAGGGAACTGGATGGAGACAGCAGTTTGCCAATCATTATAATATATTGCAGTATATTTAACATTTTATTACTAATAAAGAAAGACAAGCAAATTAGGCTACTGTTGACATACAATTATAACCGCGAACAGAAAAGGCACCTATGAACAGCTGATACAGTAGAAATAAAATGAAACAGCACTGCATCTTACCTTAATCCACAAATGCTATACATTAACTGTCGTCAGCTATGAACGCAGTGTTTATTATAATTATTAATTAATTATAAGTGTTTTGCTGCTGTAAAGTATTTTCTCTTGTCGGCTTTGTTTAGGAAGTGAGAGCTGATGTTGCCATGGCGACGAGACGCGAGCGCAAGGTCAGCTTGCACGCGCCAGAGTTGTTTCGAAGGAGCGCAGTTCAAAATGCGGCATGACGCATTCTCAACACAAATGGTAAAACGTTTTTAATTGTTTTAAATTGCGTGTGAATTTTAGAACACGATGTTCATCGCATGTATTGTTGTGTAAAAAATGTGAAAGAACGTTTTTACTGATGTTAAAAGTAATTTGTTCTACTAGCTTCTAAGATTTAGTAACCTAATTAATTCAAGCTAGCGCAGGTGTTTGTTACCCATGATTTAAGGAATTAAAGTTTAAAATGAATTAAAGGAATAACACAAATAAACGACCGAAGTCTATGATTTTTTTTGTTTACACATTACTATAGATGTTATTTGGCTGAAAAATGAGAGATAGAGAGAAGCCAAATATATATTTTAAATTATTATTATTCATTAATTTATGAATGTTTTTTTTTATTTTAAAGGAATAGTTCATGCAAAAAATAAAATTTTCTAAAAAATGTACTTGTTCTCACATCGAATTTGTGGATTTTGGCCTGAAGTTGTAGCAAGAGCGCGTTTTTGCTCTTGTGATGACAACTAGGGTTTTATTTTATAGAGGAGTAGATTAAATAAATCATAAGTTCAGCCAAAAAAGTTTATTCACCATCAGGTCATCCAAAATGTGGATGAGCTTTTTTCTTAATCAGAACAGATTTGGAGACATTTAGCATAACATCACTTGCTCACATATGGATAATCTGCAGTGAATGGGTGCCGTCAGAATTAAAGTCCAAACAGCTGATAAAAACATCACAATAATCCACATGACTTCAGACCATCAATTAACATTTTGTGGAAAGCTGCATGTTTTTTTTACAAACAAATCCATTTTTTTTTCTTTTGCTTTTATTAGGACAGGACAGTATGTAGACAGGAAGCGAAGTGGGAGAGAGAGAAAGAGGGGGTCGGGATTGGGAAAGGTCCGCGAGCCAAGACTCGAACTCAGGATGCCCGAAGCGCAATGGCGCTATATGTCGGTGCACTGCCCACAAGGTTATTGGCACCGACTTAAAAAATTATAAAATGAAGAGATTAAATGACACACTTAAAAAAAAGAACTACATGTGTGCAGAGGATTGAAGAGAAAAAAACAATTGTTGGAAAAGAAAAACTAGGATTAAATCAAAACCTCGGGCCACCCTTAAGGCTTAAAGTAGACAAGACCCTTAAGCATTTACATGTTGAAATCAGAAACCATGTTTATCAACTTCAGCTGGTAGAACCACACATTTTCCCAAATTTGCAAGCTCAAACTGCTGCCCCTAATAATGCAGATCAGTTCTAGAGAAGTGCGGTGGCTTCGGTGGACTATTGTTATATACGGTGGAGGAATGTGCTTCCTGAGAGTGACTTGCCTCCATTTATGTATGCAGAATACTTGGCAGAAAGGAAATGTTGCTTTGGTTGGTTTAGGGACACAGAGGGGGAGTTCTGCCCTTTTCAGACTCTCCTCTGGGGCATTGAACACGTTTCACCTTCTCATTACCATGCTTGTTGAGATTATTATGGTCCAAAGAAAACATCAGTGCTACCAAATATCTTGAGGTCATTGGTCCCAAAGGCTAGTTTAACATTAGCCTTGTGATCAATAGCCACTGCCCATTATTTGTGCTCATCACTCAGATATATTCACTTAATCACATATCTGTCATAGTTCATAATACTTATTTTAAAACATTTTCTCTGGGTTCAGCAAATGAAGTGGAATTCCAAGTAATTTTAGAAGACTCTTGCTAATAGAAAACATACTTCAAAATTGAGTTAATGGATTTCACTGATGTTAGTTCACTCATGGAAAACATAATATACTTAGGCTTAGTTATATCTCATCTCATTTATACTCTTCTGCTTTTTCTTCTTTACTGCAAGTATTAAAAAATGCTCATCTGGTGATGATTATAAGCTTCGTTTGTAATTCCAATGGCTGAAATACAGAACATATGCATAAGATTTTTTTTTGATGACTATGATTTTAAAGGAATAGTTCATGCAAAAATAAAAATTTTCTAAAAATGTACTTGCTCTCAGGCATCAAATTTGTGGTTTTTGGCCTGAAGTTGTAGCGAGAATGTTTTTGCTCATGATGACGACCAGTGTTTTATTCCATAGAGGATTAAATTAATTAAAGGAATAGTTCAGCCAGAAATGTAGCATAACATCACTTGCTCACCAGTGGATCCTCTGCCAAACAGCTGATAAAAACATCACAATAATCCACGACTTCAGTCCATCAATTAACATTTTGTGGAAAGCTGCATGTTTTTTTTTACAAACAAATCAATTTTTTTTTTCTTTTGCTTTTATTAGGACAGGACAGCATGTAGACAGGAAGCGAAGTGGGAGAGAGAGAAAGAGGGGGTCGGGATTGGGAAAGGTCCGCGAGCCAAGACTCGAACTCAGGATGCCCGAAGCGCAATGGCGCTATATGTCGGTGCACTGCCCACAAGGTTATTGGCACCGACTTAAAAAATTATAAAATGAAGAGATTAACTGACACACTTAAAAAAAAGAACTACATGTGTGCAGAGGATTGAAGAGAAAAAAACAATTGTTGGAAAAGAAAAACTAGGATTAAATCAAAACCTCGGGCCACCCTTAAGGCTTAAAGTAGACAAGACCCTTAAGGCGAGAATGTTTTTGCTCATGATGACGACCAGTGTTTTATTCCATAGAGGATTAAATTAATTAAAGGAATAGTTCAGCCAGAAATGTAGCATAACATCACTTGCTCACCAGTGGATCCTCTGCAGTGAATGGGTGCCATCAGAATGAAAGTCCAAACAGCTGATAAAAACACAAGTAATCCACACGACTCCAGTCCATCAGTTTATGTCTTGTGAAGTGAGAAGCTACATGTTTGTAACAAATTCATATACCTTTTTAATTTCAAAACATTTTTTCCAGCTGAAATACAATCCTTTTCTGAATCAGGATAGAAATCTTATTCACCATCAGGTCATCCAAAATGTGGATGAGCTTTTTTCTTAATCAGAACAGATTTGGAGACATTTAGCATAACATCACTTGCTCACATATGGATAATCTGCAGTGAATGGGTGCCGTCAGAATTAAAGTCCAAACAGCTGATAAAAACATCACAATAATCCACATGACTTCAGACCATCAATTAACATTTTGTGGAAAGCTGCATGTTTTTTTTACAAACAAATCCATTTTTTTTTCTTTTGCTTTTATTAGGACAGGACAGTATGTAGACAGGAAGCGAAGTGGGAGAGAGAGAAAGAGGGGGTCGGGATTGGGAAAGGTCCGCGAGCCAAGACTCGAACTCAGGATGCCCGAAGCGCAATGGCGCTATATGTCGGTGCACTGCCCACAAGGTTATTGGCACCGACTTAAAAAATTATAAAATGAAGAGATTAAATGACACACTTAAAAAAAAGAACTACATGTGTGCAGAGGATTGAAGAGAAAAAAACAATTGTTGGAAAAGAAAAACTAGGATTAAATCAAAACCTCGGGCCACCCTTAAGGCTTAAAGTAGACAAGACCCTTAAGCATTTACATGTTGAAATCAGAAACCATGTTTATCAACTTCAGCTGGTAGAACCACACATTTTCCCAAATTTGCAAGCTCAAACTGCTGCCCCTAATAATGCAGATCAGTTCTAGAGAAGTGCGGTGGCTTCGGTGGACTATTGTTATATACGGTGGAGGAATGTGCTTCCTGAGAGTGACTTGCCTCCATTTATGTATGCAGAATACTTGGCAGAAAGGAAATGTTGCTTTGGTTGGTTTAGGGACACAGAGGGGGAGTTCTGCCCTTTTCAGACT